GGAGCGGAGAGGCAACAAACATTCTTCTAGGTAAGCAGAGAAGACGTAATTCATCAATTTGAAAAAAACCTTCAGACTGAACTAGGGCAGGACAAATTGAGGTAACATCCTCCTGAAAGCAGCCCACATGTACAATCCTGTTTCAGTCCTGAGTGTTCAAAGACATGCTGCAGTGGTGTACCACAGATTCAGCATCACTAGAAATGCTGTAGCGTATTAGCAGTTAAGTATTTTTTGTCACTGTGATTTGTGTCAGAAGAACAAGGCAACAAAGGCTGACAAAGGAGAACTTCTGGGGAAGTCGTGCTCTAACCAGGTCAATGGTATTAGAAGCCAAGTGTATCACCTGTCAGGCATGAAGTATGTATTTAGAAGGAAACAGCTTGCAATAATAATTATGAAGCTCATGCTGCCCACTTGAAAAAGTCTCTTAATGATCAGTTTTGTGGCAACATTTATCAACAGTAAAGGAGTCCATTAAAGCACAACTGCTCTTTTTCGGAGCCATAGATCTATTTCATGTTTTCGTTCATTACATCAAAAATTTTTAATATAAAGAGAGCCTAGTATTTTGAGGGGGGTTGCATTTTTATATGGTGAGCTTTATTCCAGAATTGGCATGAAAATTTAGAAAATATGAAATGGACAGGCTAGGTGCAATGAGAACTCCAGCTGCAGACTGGTGCGCAGGCACTGTGGGTTGTCTACCTGCTACCTGCAAAGAACATTAGTTGCCAGTTAGCAACTACCCAGCTACACAAATCGATCTTTAAAAAGGGGATATTTCCAGTTCCAGTAAGTTTTCTGGGAGTTTCAATAGCTGAGGCACCTGTAGACACAGTAAATACAGAAGTTCAAAACCCAGAGAGGACAAAGGGGTATTAACAGGTAACACCTACCTGCTGAGGAAAGAACTTGGAGGAGAGTTCTGAGACATGATACAACTGAGTAACTTCAAGTTGACACAAGAGGATTGGCAGATGCCTACAATTAAGACCAAGCAGATGCTGAAGCCTCTCTTAAAAGGCTTGAAAATAGCTTTCACTGGACTGCTGGTTTAGATACTCCACTACCTGCTGATGATTTTCAGAGAAGCCTCAGGTATGATCCTCCTTCACAGGTTTTATGACCAGAAGTTAAAACAACTTTTTAAGTGTGTTCAGATCTCAGAGACCTTGGAGAAGGAAGTGGTTTTCAAGTAAACAGGAATATATTTTGGCAATATGTTAATCATGACTGAAAGCAAAGACTAGAGGCATTAGACTGGTATAACCCAGGTAGCTGCCCACATCAAATCATCACTATGAAAAATGACAAAACAGATTTAAGGAAGGTACTGTGAGCCCTGTCAAAGCCATCCACAGGCCACCTGTCTGAAGTAAGCAGAACAGATCTACTGAAAAGGATGGTGTTCACAAGCCAATTTGCAAAGCCTGGGGAGCACATCTGTCTTTTGAACCACCCAAAGGTGCATCAGAGTTCAGCATTCACCAGAAGACAGCACAAGCCTTCATTTTGAGAAGTTACTACAGTACTTCAGAAGACGCTGACTGACAGCAGGCACGTGCTCATTCAGTTAACTCTTCAGTCACACAGATAGACTCAGACCAGGATCTATTCTTGAATTATGACCGCTCTAGCATGACAAGAGCATCTAGGAGATCTCCTCAAAGAATCTTTTTCTCACATGATCAAAGGAAGATGGAAAGTTAATTGACATCTAGACTAAATGGATTTAGATTTGTAGAACACAGAGACATCTTTCCTGGATTTAAAAAAAGTACAATTTAGCCTGTCACAGAGGGAAAAAAAACCCAACCTTCCCAGGCGAAACTTAGCAAGATTAAATGCAATGGCATCAAGTAGCTAAAGAATCAAGTGACCATTCATTTAGCACAAAGTAAAGATCATCAGGCTAAAATTAAGCAAACGACCACAAACTTGACATGAACCTAACTCCCTACACAGACATATTTAATGAATAGGAACTGAATTACTAATTTGGAAGCATAAATGGAATTAATTACTTTTACTATGAGCTAGTGGAAAATATATGATAACAAAATACTCAGTTCATTACTCAGGACAGTTTCTGAAGGACAAACTGGTCAAAGCAAGGGAGAAACCCCCCCCCAGTAATCTATAAAAAACAGAAAGTATCATGAATGCACATGGAACAATATTCTGCGTGATAAACCATGAAATTGGGCATTAAATTGTTTCTGTTACAAATGTTAAAAGCATGTCTTGCTTCTTAATTGTTTATAATCTTAATTATGTGACATGAGGAAAACCGTCCTGGAAGCTTCAACTAAAAAGCATATGCCAACAGTGTATTCTAAGTCCAAATTCACAATCTCACATCTAAAGTTAGCATTAGCTGGGGAGAAAAACCTATATTAAAACAAATATGTAACCAAAGGAAAACCAAGCATAACACAAAATATGAAACAGAAGCTAAGAATGACAAAATATTCCAAAGGCAAGTGAAAAAGTTGTATTTACAATGGGTATTTAATCATGTGAATAGCATGAACGCGTATTTTTTATAGTGTGTTTCAGAGCGAGCAGAAAGTTCAGATATAGTTCTGTTCTACATTTGTGGATAAAAACAACAATATATCAGAAAATTCTAACAATAGCTAAAGAAATCTTTAAAGATAGGAACAGAAGGCGGTTTTTAAATCAGCAGCTCCAGATAGCTTGCATCCAAGAATTTTAAGAGCTGGCAAAGGAGACTTACGTGCTGTTAATATGGATTTTCCATAAGCTTTGAGAAATCTGGGGAGGCTCGGAAAAAAAAAAATCTCAAAGAAAGCTAAGGTGGCGCCAATACTAGAAAAAAAAGTAAGAAAGGAACAAATTCAGGAACACTGCAGGGAAAAAAAAAAGCCAACTGGCTTCTTGATATAGAAACAAGAAATAAATGAGGAAATTCTACTTGAACTACACAGCTTAAATGTATGGAAAATGTATCTTTTCAGATTAACTTTTTTTCCTCATGCAATTACAGCATACGTTTGGTAGGCAATAGGAACAGTGGTGGTATAACACATTTGTACATCGACTTGTTGAGTAGGACACAGAAACTGGTATAGTTGTGCACATATAGTTCATAGTAAGTAAATTAAAACTAAGGTTACAGGTCTGTGTCAATGAGGAATCAGTCAGACATATTTCTAATTGAATCCCACAGGAACTAGTTCTTGGCAGCAAGCTACTCAGTATCTTATTTGCAAATAAAGTTTACTAAGAACATTCGTAGAAGCTCTAAGCAAATAACATAGCAAGACTGCTGACTGGAAACTATCCGGATTACTCAAAAATGAATGTTTCAGCATGATCAGTGTGAAGTCATGATTTAAGAGTGATGAATATAAAACACTTATAAATGGGAAACTTCCCCAGGAAGTAGTTGAAATAGCTGATAACAGAATAAACATGGGTTCCTTATGCATAAGCCAGTTCAAAATTGTTAATCTAGTTGCTAAATGGCTCAGAAAAAACACCAGAATGAAATCCTGCTTTCGTTGCAGGGAGGAAGAGACCAGAGAAACGGGAGTATATAAAAACAAGTTTTTGAAGTACTGATGTCCACTGGCAAGATACATTGCTGCATTTCAGGAAGCAGCGACAGGACGACAACTTCTGTATCCTTGTTTATTTGAACTGCTTTATCAGAATACAGCTTCTAGTCCAAAGAAGTTGTTAGTAAAACAGAGGTTTCCATGAGTGAGTACAAATGACCCAAGCGCAAAGCGAGTCTAAAATGGAGCATCACGATGGAATAATTGTCATACAGAAGTTAACTCCATCAGATGAGGTTAAAGGACCACAGGAAGACCTGCAAAGCATTTGGTGGTGGTGGTGGGGAAATTATAGGAAGTGCAGTGTGGTAGCTGAAATTAAGTTCGTATTAAAACACCAAGCAGACTTTTTTGAGTAGCTGTAGTAATTACTGAGCTTCCAAAGGCGGCAGCAGTTTTCGCTAACACCATACGTCTCTATGCTGACCGGACAAAACCCCAAACTAGAACCAAAATATTATTTTTAAAAGACAAGCGCACTGCCCTTGCCACAAGCCGCCCCCGGGTAAGGCACAGGCCCTGTCCCTCCCTCCCGGCGCGGCCCAGCGGTCCGTCGGCACG